TATTCTATTACTTATAAATAACCCAGTCTCAGGTCTATTCTTACAGAACTACAGACAGACTAAGATAGTGAAACTATCAACACAAGTGGGTTGCACACCAGCACTTACAGTCAGATGCAACTACAAGACAAATCCAGCAGGTACACACTGATTTGTTTTTAAGTCTGAATTTCAAAGGAAAACTATAAAATCCAACCTCAAGTACAAATTTGTCCCCAGAACAAAAACCCTGCGCATCTACATGTGCCTGGCCCTGCGCAAGGTAGTTGTTGCTCGACTGTTCAGTTCTGTTAGAGCAGGCAAGCAGTTAATAAGTTAACAGGTCAGAAGTTTAAGTGGAGACTAGAATTCTCCCGGCTGTAGTGCTAACAGTACAGACAGTCACTGTGGTTTAGCTCCATCAGAGAGCATGCTGCAGGCTCGAGGTGCAGCCTCACAAACGAAGGAGGGACTATGGGACAGAGGAGGTAGAAAAGCTAAGTATCAGCCTTACGCTGGGGTTTCTCTGCATATGCGTTTATTCCGAGCAGATCATGGAGAAGCGCAAGGAAGACTTTCCTCTAGTAACACCGCAAGCCTTACTCCACAGGGCTGACCCTCAGGCAAGCAAGGAACACATCTCATTTCCAGAACTCTCCTCGCACTGAGTGCAAAAGGGAGATGAACAGAACCAAGCAGGAGATTGCCACGAAGAGCTTTGAACTCCTCCAGGACATAAGCCAAGGGGCTCACGAATACAGTGAAAAGAGAGACTTCGCAGTGTGACCCGCCTATCGGAGGCCCATGCCCCCCGCCACCCCAGGCCGGCGCGCGCTCTGCTCCGGTCCCTCTGCTCCACCTCCGTGTACTTGGCAGCACATTTCCATTTCCTATGAACACTGGATAAAAAGGGGGAACTCCACAAATGGATGTGGAGGCACCGCGCTGTGCACCTGGTCATACTGACTTCTTCTAAAGCACCTATTCCAGGGTCTGCTACAGGGACAATTGGCAAAGAAATAGATCCCTGCCCCCTCGGAACTTCCATGGCCAAGGAGACACAAATTAAGCAGAAATGGGCTGGACCAAGAGCTGCAAGACGGCCTTAAGTAGGCTAGGCTGGCGTGGGGAGGTCTGAGGAGGCCTCTGACAGCGCGCCACTTCCACTGCTGAGAGCTAGACACGGGGGGCAGATGGAACTGAACCAGCTAACTGCCCCTTTGCAGAAAGGAGCAGAGAGAACCAAAGGCCACCTGCAGGCTGCAATAGAGGGGCTCGGCAGCAAGAGCCAGAACCACGCAGCAAGCATCAGAGGGTCCTTAAAGGCTCGCAGCTTCATCCTAAGAACCACACAGATCACTTGAAGAATGCTAAGTAGGGAAAATACCCCATCAGGAGCCTTTACTAAAAGACTCCGATGCCCTCCTGTGGAAATGGCTCAGATCTGATGGACTGGAGCAGCCTCAGGAGCACGCCCAGGTGTAGACGCGCAGGCACAGAAGTCGGGTTCTGCAAGAGGAAGCAGTGAAGGGAGGCGAGCTCGGGGCACTAGTAGGAGATGGGCTACTAAGAACACAGGGAACAGGCTCTGGGGGAAGGACAGTCAGAGTGAGAAACAGAGGCGTCAGTGAGTCCGAGGTCTCCGCAGGGCCCAGGGCACATGATGGGAGTCGACAGGCCAACAAGCCAGAATGACAGAGGTGGTGGCGCGCAGACCCCTTCGAGGAGGAGCCGGCTGGGGCATGGCAGTGTCTGGCCTGCGCCCTGACAAAGGCAGCTGGGGAGTAGTCGAAGAGCAGCACCTAAAGGAAGTCCAGGCTGTCGACGAGACCTGTGCAGGCCAGCTGCGAGTCTGTCCCTAGAAGAAGTGGAGCAGCTCAACCCCAGGTGGCATCCCGCGGGACGACAGACGCAGAGCTCCTTCGGGAGATCCTTGTGGCGCTCCAGCCTCATCACCTCTGCGCCACCTCCAGCCTAGTGTCCTCCTGAGCAAATAAAACCAGGCCTGAGCACAGCCCGACAAGTCCAGAACCTGCAAGCCGCTTAGCGCAGCACCGAGGCAACCGCGCACCTTGAGCACCAGAGCGGCCGGCTCCCGGACGCCAGCCCCTGTGCCCCACGGAGTGCGGCGCTGTCACGCTTGGCACGACACCCGCGTGCACGTCTCATCTCTCCTGGGAGGCTGAGAGGTCAAGGCGGATCACGGCGCTTCCTTCACACCTCCTAGAACCGTGCCTGGCATGTAACAGATACTCAATAAAACACCTATTGGATGTCACAAAAGAGCCACTAGGGTTTGAATGGTTTTTGCCATGAAGAAATGATAAATGTTTGAAGGGACACATATGTTTACCATGATTTAAACATCACACAAGATATACATGTATCAAAGTATGACATCATACCCC